ATTTTTCTTCTAGAAAAAAGTGTATAATAATAACCTAAAATCATGGTAAATGCAACAGAATGGTTAAATCAAAATTATCCGGTAAATGGAACTTGTACGAGAATAGAAGATAAAGAAAATTATGGGAAAACAAGGGGAGAGATTATTAATTTAGATATTAGTAATCAAAATCTAGAAGGAAATTTGTGTACATATCCAGTAACTGGATTTTCTAATCTCCGCAAAGTAAATATTTCTTTTAATAAATTTGTTTGTGGCCTTCTTGGCAATGCAAATAATTGAGAAGAGATTGATTATTCTTATAATGATCATGGAGATCTATGAGGAGGATTTTCTGGTCCCCGAATTAAAAAACTCAATCTTTCACATAACCATATAGAAAAGGTTTATCTTTCTCAACTTCCTCAATTAACTCACTTAGATTGCAGTACCAATTCTCTCACTGAAATAACTTTAGTAAGTAAAGAGTTACAAGTATTGAATTGTTCTGATAACCCTCTCCTTAACAGTTTAAATTTGACTAATCTGCCTCATCTTAACTCTATAGATTGCATGGGCATTAAATTTGATAAGTCAATTACTACTACTTCCATTTTCACAACTTCTACTGTTTTAACAACAGCAACAGTTTATACCAACAACCCTACTCTCCTTGGCAGCACCATCGGCCTCGGAGTTTATTCGGGAATAAGCACTCTGGGTTGAATAATTTTAGGTTTTATTCTTATTCACAAATACCTTTTATGAAAAACTGTAATCCCTACTCCGGGTAGTTAATCTTTGCTTAATAGTAAGGTACTCAAACTGATAAACATTTTCCGGATTGAATTCAAGATAATATTTCTCTCGATAGTTAACTTTGTTTGGATTGACAAAAATAGTTTTTGGTGGCAAAGAAAACAGGAAAGCAAACTAGGCAAATTCCACTCTCTATTAACCAGAAAATAAAGTCAAGTAATCTTTCCAAAAACTTACCTCATTTCTTCGTAAACAATTTTTTTTAATGGACTAATCAGGATTTTTTAACTCGGCTAGCAAATAAGTGATTACGAGGGCTTTTGGTTGCTGTTTGCATATTTAACTTTTTTAACTTTCTTACTCTTTTTCTTTGGTCGGGGTTGTTAAACTTGTATAACTATAATAAAAAAAATGGTAAATGCTCAAGAGTGGTTGGATGAGAAATATCCGAATAAGGAAGAAGTTGAAGAAATTGATGGAAGTTGAAAAGACCTCGCGGGCAAACTAACTATTTCCGATTTTCCCCAGTTAAAGAAAATAGATGTAAATGGTTTATCTAGTGAAGAAAAATTAACCCAACTTCACCTCAGCAATTGCCCACAATTAACTTATTTAAATTGTTATTGAAGTAAACTTAATGAATTAATTATTATCAATTGCCCTAATTTACGAATAATATATGCTTACGATAATCAATTAACCAAGTTAGATTTAAGTAATAATCATCAACTAGAAGAATTATGAATTAACAATAATAACTTTTTCTCCGATTTATCTTTTTTAAGCCATTTAGTAAATTTGTGAGAGCTTTATTTAAATGATAATAACTTTACCGGCTAATTTTGATTTAACCATTCTGTTGCATTTACCATGATTTTAGGTTATTATTATACACTTTTTTCTAGAAGAAAAAT